CAATTTTTTCTGTTAAAAAAAAAAAATTACAATTCACAGGGAACCTCAAGGGACCCCAAACAGTCAAAATACTCTTGAAACAGAAGATGGAGGCTGTCCTTTTCAAAACTCAAAACATATTACAAAGTAATCAAGATGATGTTGTACTAGCATAAGCCCAGATACATAACCCACTGGAACAGATTAGAGTACCAGAAATAATTCAGTGAATGTGATATAAAATGTACAGACAAGGGTGCAAAGACTGCACAAAGGGTAAAGGACAATCTCGATAACAAATGATATAGAGCAACTCTATACAACCAAGCAAAAGAATGAAGATGGAACCTTACTTGTAACAAAGGTAAAATCTTTCGTATCACAGGATACAATCCACCAAGTGCAGAGACAACCTCTGAGGAATGGAGGTGACGAAAGTGATTTAAAGAATTTCCAGTTGTCAGAGATTTTGATTGATTTTATAGGTCAAATTCAAAAATGGAATAAAACATTCCCTGGCAGTCCAGTGGTTAGGAACTCTGTGCTTTCAGTGCCGTGGGCCTAGGTTCAAACCCTGGTCGGGGAACTAAGATACTACAAGCCAACATGGGGCGCAGTCAAAAAAAAAGGAATCAATCTCCTTATACTACTGATGTTTGGTTCTGAACGTTCCTTTCCATTTGCAACCATTAAGATTCGAAGTCAACAGAGAACAAACATGGTTCCCAAAGGGGAAGAATGTGGAAGGGATAGTTAGTGAATTTGGGATGGACATGCACACTGCTGTATTTAAAATAAATAACCAACAACGTCCGCCTGTATAGGACATGGAACTCTGCCCAATATTATATGATAGTCTGGATGGGAGGGGAGTTTGAGTGAGAATGGATACATGTGTATGTACGGCTGAGTCCCTTTTCCATCCACCTAAAACTATCACAACCTGTTAATCAGCTCTACTCCAATATAAAATAGCTAAAAAAGAAAATGAAAAAAAGACGAAGTCAACGACTGATTCATTTAGTTTCAAATGGTTTAGAAAAAGAACGAATTACCCCTCATTGGTCAGTTTTTCAGATTTTATCAGATATTATGCATGTTAATGTTCAACTTCTTTACCCTGGTTTACAGAGCAGACAGCGCATCCAGATGGGCCCTAAGCAATCCCTGCTGCCCAACAGCACTGAGACCCCGTCTCCAACCCGTGGGTGAGAAGCCCTGCCCAGGACAGTGCCCAGGGGAGCCTCCTCACAAGGGCCAGGTCACCGGGTCATGGGGAGATGGGATCTAAGTGGAGATGACAGGCCCTGAGGGAAGGCCCCGGGTGACTGTGCAAGTACAGGAGTCAGACAGGACACTCCAGAGTCAGACACGATTGGCGAGTCCAGGGAAGGGCATTTCAGGAAGGCAGTGTGAGAATCCACTGAGAATATGACCTTACCTGAGAAAGAGCCATGCCTGACTCCCGTTCTTTCCTCTTCCTCCTCTTCTATGCTCTTCCTTGGGCAAGGTAAGTCTTTCGAAGTCAACCTTGAAAGTTGCAAAACTGCAGTTAGAATCCATATCTTCTCTCTCTGTGCCCCAACCACACACACACACAAAGAAGATCTCATCAGGTGGAAAAGAGTCTTTGGCTGCCACTGTCACAGGAGAGACCAGAGATCAATATGGGAGTTTTTCTACCCTTTCCTTCAAATCTCGCTCCCCTCCTGGTGAGGTCTCATGAAAACAGCAGCAGGGGGCACCTCAGCTAACGCTCAGCTGTCCACCTCACACAATCCCTTTCAGGTCACAGTCCAGGCCCTGGTCCATCCCCACTCAAAGCACAGCCCCTACCCTGAGCCCAGATCTCAGCGCTCAGGAATGGGAGGATCAAGAGTACTGATGCTCAATGCTAGATGCACCTTGGCCCCTTAAACACTATTGAGATTGGACCCCACACTGACAATATGAAAAGAAATCTCTGGTCAGGGGGTATAAAACATGCATACCCAGAATTCTTCATCAATCTAAGGCAAGCCTGAGTTGACCAGCACCCCATGGAGGCAAGTCTAGTCCACCCCTCACATTCTATTTTCCATCTTGACGGAAGCTAACAGATGAAAAACAAGTATGTACACATGAGGCATCCAGTGTGACTATTTGATAAAGTAATTTACACTTCTGTCAACTCACAACTAGCATTTTACTTCTGTGTGGCAAGAATACTGAAGTGTTATTCTCTCAACAAATATCAAGTATGTAGAAACACAGTATGATTAACCATAGTCAACATTAGATGTACATACTGCAAATACTGACCTAAATTTTGTGATTTAGTTTCCTCTGGATAGCTAAACAAGGGAATCTTTAAGTCATTTTCTGTAATAGTCATACCATTTACATTTCCACTAAGAGTACACAAGAGTTCCCTATTCTGTCTCTGTGTGTGTGTGTGTGTGTGTGTGTGTGTGTGTGTGCACGCGTGCGTGTGCATGTTTTGGGACAGGGTGGGAGAGGACAGGAGAGGAACTAGCACTGGCCTGGCAGCAAAAAAGTAGCAGCTACACCTTCCCAAGGATGTCCCTCTGTACTACCGTTCACTTGGTGTTGCCAGTCCTCTTGATTCCTGGAACAATCTCTCCCTACACTGAAGAATGTAATGGCCCCCCTCAAGTTCTGTCCACGGAACATACCTAGCAAAACCTCCCTAATGAAAACTCTCTGCTATTTGAAGCTTAGTACTCATCATTTCCTTCCCTTTTGGACTCAGATGAACGTACAGACTCTCATGGGGTCCTACACAGTCTCTATAAAACCCATAATGATCCACTCATCCTGCTATAAAAAACCACACCCACACAAAAAAATCCCAAACTCTAATAAATCATGCCAGAGAGAAAAGTACGTATGAAGACATCCAAAGATCCACTAGATGCAAAACATCATGTTTTCATTCACTGTAACCTCAGCCCAAAGATTGTCATCTTTGAAAACTACATATAAAACATGTTTTCAGCAGTGCACAAGCCCCAGCGAGACCCAAACATCTCCCAAGGAAACACCCCAAATCCCCCTGTTGTAGCTTTCACAGTGCAACTGAACATTTCTTTATTTGCGACACAAAATACTGAAGAGTACTAAAGGTAAACAACAAAATGACATCTGAAACTTTTCTTATGTTACTCTAAAAACTGTAGAAAGATTCCTTTCTCTGTCTCTTTTCCCCTGGAGCAGGAAGGATTTATTTCTTGCAAGAAGTAATGGAGATCTTTTTCAAAGCAGTGTCCCTGCACTATGATTCTTGACCTCCCCAAACACCCAACACAAGTCACCTGTGGAGTGGATGCTGAAAGGCACCCTTCAGCTCCATCTCCTGAGCACAAGGCACCCATCCTCCTGCACCCAAGGGTCCCTGTGTGCTCAGCTTAGGCCGTCCTTCTAACACTGGAGGAAAATAATTTTCTGTGCCTGAAACAACTGCCTTCATGGAAGCCAAAACATGCACCAACCCAAATGTCCATTAAGAGAGGAATGGATAAAGAAGATGCAGTACTTATATATAATGAAACACTACTCAGACATCAAACAGAACGGAAAAAAATGTCATTTGCAGCAACACAGAGGGACCCAGAAATCGCCATACTGAGTGAAGTTAAGTAAGAGAAGGAGAAATATCTTATGACATCCCTTAGACGTGGAATCTAAAAAGAAATTATACAAATGAACTTATAAAACAGAAAGAGACTCACAGACTTAGAGAATGATTGTGGCAGGGTTGGGGGGGGAAGGGATAAATGGGCAGTTTGGGATGAACATGTACACACTGCTATATTTTAAATGGATAGCCAACAAGGACCTACTGTATAGCACATGGAACTCAATGTTATATGGCAGCTTGGATGGGAGGGGAGTTTGGGAGAGAATGGATACATGTATATGTATGCCTGAGTCCCCTCACAGGTCTCCTGAAATTATCACAACATTGTCAATCAGCTATATCCCTATACAAAACTAAAACTTAAAAAAAGAAACCCACAAATTTACATTTAATGCTGAGAAATATTTCTACTACGGTCACTTCTACTCAGAGCCTGTGTTCCTGTCTCCAAGCCAGCAATTTTGTTTTTCATTCTGGGAAGACAGGGACCCATATACACTTCTACAAAAACTAGATACTCTCTCCAAAAAGAACTGCCACACAGAGACACATACCCAGTTTGGCCAATCACTTCAGGGTCAGCATTGCTCTGAGTTTCTCATCTAGTCTCTCATCTGCATGTTATAAGCAGGCTCCCTGAGGTCCAGAAGGGAGACATTTTTTGAAAACATCTTGGTGGAGTGAACAGAATAGGGGTGTTTCCCAAATGAGATCCTGCAAGTTCAGGGGGCAGAGTTTGTCCTTATCGCCTGTCCCATTTAAAATACCATCTATCAGATACCTGATCAAAGAAAACTTCTTTCAAGGTCTAATCACACAGACACCAAACAGGTAATTCTTCTTTTCCAGAAAAATCAAACTAAGGTAATTTAAACAGTCTCAGAAGCACAGCTGCTGGTGCAGAAAACACTGTAAGGGTTCAGCTTAGAGATAAGTTCTGAGCAAACTTTTTCATCATGAACAGAGGAATAAAAGAGGCAAAAAATATATAAGGGATTCAAATCCCTTATATAAACTGGCATAGTATCTGCATATAACCTACACACATCTTCCCATACGCTGTAAATCATCTCGAGGTTATTTATAATACCAAATAAAATGTGAATGCTACGTAAAAAAAAAAAAAATTAGGCTAACTAGTTAAACCAGGTTTTGACCGTTAATATAAAAGACATTTCTACCAAGTACTCATCAAAAGAATCTAAATGTATTTACTAGTTATGAAAGCACTTTTCCAATATATTAAGATAAGGCAGGGAAAGCACTTTGGTGTCAAGAATATCTAAATCAATAAAAGGAAATAATCTTGCTGTCAACGCTTTTAAAAAATTGAGGATATATCATATTTAGAAAAGAACCACATGAGTAGAATACATAATGCCCCCAAACTTATTTCACAACTTAGTAATTATTTGAGGGACTCAGACATTTAATGCATTAGTATATATGTAAAGTTAACAAAAGAACTGTAAAGGAAACAGAGAAAAAAGTAAATCCATTACAGAAAAACACTTTCAATGTTTCTTCAAAGAGGTTCTATGTGGGGACAGAATCAGTCCTTTCTTGCCCCACTAGTGCCCCCTCCATCCCATGCCAGGAAATGGAAGGGGGTGGGTGAGCCACACCTGTCTGAGTCAAGTCACTGCTCCTTGGCTCAATAGGGACTGCAAAGGGACGTTATCTTGTCATACAAACGATTACAAAATGTACAAACCTTCCAGCTTGGCGATATGAATCTTCGTCTGCATAATTTAAGCAAACAAAATAGAAAGCTATTAGATTCTAAAGCCAGAAAACAGTGCATCATAACTTTATCCAAATCCAGTTAACTCACCCCTCCCACCTGGACACAGGTTTCCCTCTCCTGCACTATTTTTTTTTTTTTTTACCTGCACTATTATTCATTTCCATTTAATTGTCCATTTCCATTTCCCCCCTCCCTCCCATTTCTGTCTATTTTTTAATCTTTTCTATTCTGCTGGTGCGCCTGCTGGTCTATTTCTCTCTACTGTCCTGCCACGCTCTGCAACTTGTTTCACCTCTTGTTGCTCTTTCCCCCTATCTTTACATTTCTGCTTCTTTCTTCCCCCAGCTCAAAGCCCTCTCTGCCCTCCGGTTGCAAACCTCTGCTTCTCAGTCCCCTCCTCCCCACTCTCAGGCACCCCACGTGGCTATGCTTCCTTTCTGCTCCGCTAGTCAAAAGCTGTCATCTGTTCCTCTCTCAGGACCACGAAGTTCTGAAGGCCACGATTCCACCTTTTATCCTCTCGCAGAATCTCCGTGAAGTGCCTCACCGCTGTTGCTCCCCTTACTACCAGTGATAGAGGCCACCCTCTCCCCATGTTGTTGCCCAATCCCTGGAGATCTGGCTTTTAAAATTTCTCTAAATTATTCACCTGCTATTTTCAAGGCTAAATCTATTTCATCTTACGGTCTCTTGACAAGACCCTCAGCCGTCTTCTGTCTCCATCCGTTTTCCCTTAGTCTTTCCACCTCATCAGTTTTCCTCTCTCAGGTTTCTTCTCTGCGGCTGCCGATCCCATCGCCCGCTTATTTATGGCAAAAGAGACGCAGTAAGACGGCCGCCTACGGAAGAAACCGTTTTCCAACCGAGAGAAGAACTGGGGGCTGAAGAACACTGGCCGGGGTCACCTGCCCCCACGCGGGGTGAGGGGACAGGCTGACAGGGACGGGAGGCCCGCGGGGCGGAAGGAGCGGCCTGAGGAGACGCGAGGACAGAGGGGCCGGGAGGGACCCTGTCCCGAGAGCGGGGCGGGCTGTCCAGAATCCCAAGACCGGGGAGAGGACGCCGCCTCCAGGGGCCGAGAGGACGAGGCTGAGGGGCGCGAATCCACTTCGCGAAGGAGGGCTTTACATGAGGCGGGGGGGCAGAGGTAGGAAAGGGTTTTAAGCACGAAAATGTGCGAAAGGCGATGTCTACTGAGACCAAAGGCGGAAAACGCCAAGGGCAGGGACCAGCCTCTGAGATTTCAACCCAGAGGAAAATACACCCAACCCCTAACAGCGACGTCTGGATAGACTGGGGGCGGAGAGGCGGGTGCTGGGATTTTAGGCCCGTGCCGACCCCCATGTCGTGAGGATGGAGTTAGAAGGGGGAAGGGGGCCACCGCCAGCGCACAGTTACAGTACCGACGAGCAACTTACTCTCAGCGGGGTGACCTTCTCTCCGCGTAGCCCGCTTCCGGTTCCGTAAGGAACGGCGCCAGAGGGGCCAGAGGGGCACTTCCGGGGGCGGGGCCTTGGCCTGGCGCTAGGAGCCTGGAGAGACCCCCGGCCCCCGCAGGGAGTGCTGGGAGGCAGGGCAGGCGCGGAGCAGGGGGCGGGAAGTGGGAGGTTGATCCTATTGATTTGAAATGCTTTTTTAAATGTATTGTCCCACGTTGAGGGTGGGGGGACCGGTGCTGGGTGCTCCTTGCTGCCTGGGCACTTCTCTAACTGCAGTGAGCAGGGGTTACTCTTGTTGTGTGTGGGCTTCTCACTGCGGTGGCGTCTCTTGCCAAGAGCACATGCTCTGGGGCACACAGGCTTCAGTAGTTGCAGCTCCCTGGCTCCAGAGCACGGGCAGTAGTTCTGGCCCACGGACTTCGTTGTCCCAAGGCACGTGGGATCTTCCCCGACCAGGGATGAACCCATGTCTCCCGCAGTGGCCGGCGGATTCTTTACCACTGAGCCACCAGGGAAGGCCTACTGTCACAGTTTGAAGGTGAAAGTTGGGCCAGTTACCTGGCCCAGTTATACTGAAACTAAGATGTCTCCTAACAAGTTGAAAACGGTTCAGTAAAAAGTTGTTTTTGCCAGCAGTTTGCTTACATGTCCAATTGACTGTGTATGAGATAAAGGTTCCAGGTAAACTTTTTAAATATCTTTCCCCAACTCGTTGACAAGAGGAAGCCTTACATGTTTGATAAATTAAATTATATGTAGTTTATAAATATCTAGATCATTCCCAAATACGATAAAAGAGTAAAATACTACTAAAAATAGTATTTTGCCTTACAACTCTATAACCATTTGTTTCTGTCTTTGAAATCTTTGGGACTCAAACGGTAAACTACACAGAGAACAACACAGCATTTTCCCACACTTTCCATCAGATCTTACTCCCTTCCTGGTGAAGCCCTCACATACACAGCAGCAGTGGGCACCTCAGAAGACCCGACAATCCCCTTCAGGTCACAGACCAGGCCCTGGTCCATGCCCACTCAGAGAAGAACGCCTCCCCTCAGCCCAGATATCAGCCCTCAGGAATAGGACTCAGAGTCCTGAAGCTCAAGGAAGGATTCAGATTAGAATCACCTGGGGAACCTTAAATATAATTAACACTGGGTCTCACCCCGTTTATTTGAAAGGGACTCTGGTCAGGGCACAAAAATGTATTTACAAAGTGCTTCTTTGATCTTATGTGAAGACTGGGTTGAACATCAAGGATGAATGAATGGATAGTGAAAATGCAGTGTGTGTATAATGGAATATCACTCAAGCGTAAAATCTTATTTATTTATTTTTTTGGCTGCACTGTGCAGCTTGTGTCATTTTAGTTCCCTGACCAGGATTGAACCCAAACCCTGGCAGTACAAGCACAGAGTATCAGCCACTGGACTGCCAGGGAACTCCCTAAAATAAATAAATATTTCCATCTGCAACAACATGGAAGGTACTAAGCTAAGTGAACAAAAAGTCAAAGACAAATACCACATGGTTTTACTTATCTATAGAATCTAAAAGAGAAAAAAATGCAAAGACAGTGAAAACAGACACACAGAAAAAATATGTGATTTCCTGAATGGGGTAAAGAAGTGAATTATATGAAGGAGTTTAAAATGGGCACACTGACAATTACACAATAAGTAAGTCAGGAGGATGTATAATACATGGCATAAAGAATAGGGTTAAAAAAAAAGAATAGGGTCAATAATATGGTAAGAATTTTGTTTGGGCACAGATGGCTACTAGACTCACTGTGGTGGTCATTTCACAATGTATGCAAAAACTAAACATTAAATATCACACCTGAAACAAAAATTGTACAGCAATATGTTTCAACTAAAATTAAAAAGATGCTCTGTTATGGAAAGACACCATACAAAACTAATTAATATAGATGGCAAGGCCCATAACCAGGGCCGTCACCTCACTTGATATCAGAATAAACACTTTTGAGGAAAACCACACAAATGCATGACAAAGCTGATCCAGATTTTAAGCCTGGTAGAACATAACATGATTCTTTCTAGGAAAAACTTGACAAATGTACTGAATGTGATCAACTTTATAAAAATATATATACCTTTGTGGTCTTGAAAGAATCAATGTAATATAGAAACCATACAAGAATGTCAAGACTTCGCAGCAATTACTCAGGATACTCCACAAGGAATTCACACTAGACAGAGACATGACAAATGTAAATGGGGAGATAAATCTTCAAACAATCCTCTCAATGGACTTACAAAGAAGAAAACTTACAGTGGGAGGAAACTCAGTCTATTAGGTTTGAAATAACCAATCTCAGATGTTAAATTCCACAGACAATTAAAGGTAAAATTCATGAGTTGATACCTGTCAAAGGATCAGACATCTGTGGAAAGATCTAATTATCTGCAGATGGTACATTGTTTATTCAATTATCTGAGGTCTCATGAAAAGGGTCCATTGTTTTTAATAACCTACAATCTGAAGTTTGAAATCTGTTGATGTTATTGTTCCATTATCTGCCTTTCATTTGTCAGCATGATAGTCTCAGGGAAAAGACAGGTAAGATGAAACCCCACCTATTGCATTAGGTGGGGTTTTTTCATATCCATGAGACCAGGAAAAACTAGGACACTGATTTTAAGAAGCAAGATGGTATAAATTTGAGAGCATGGGGACAGCCAGAGTAGAGATGTAAAAATATTATCTAAAATATGCTTTTGGGATCCCCCTGATGTGCTTCCCTGGCTCAAATGGTAAAAAATCTGCCTGTAATATGGGAGACCTGGGTTTGATCCGTGGGTTGGGAAGATCCCCTGGAGAAGGGAATGGCAACCCACTCCAGTATTCTTGCCTGGAGAATCCCATGGACAGAGAAGCCTGGTGGGCTGCAATCCATGGGGTCGCAAAGATTCGGATACGACTGAGCGACTAACACACAACACACACGCTTGGTGATAAAGTGGCTAAGACTCCACCCTTAGTGCAGGGGGTCAGAGTTCAATCACTGGTCAGGGCACTAGATCCTAAATGCCACAACTGAAAGATTGTATGTGCTGAAACTAAGACCCAATGCAGACAAATTAATTTAAAAACAAAATATCATGTTTTTGGTGGCCACGACACCTTCTCTTGATATGTTGTTATGAATGAGGACCATCATTGATGATTATAT